ATCAGCGGGAATCCAGTCTCAGCGGAGGCCCGGAGGGAGTCTCTTACTGCTACGGATAAACAGCTGCTACCCTGGCAAACACCTTCCCTTTTCTCTCACCGTCGAGAAAGAAAAGCAGGGCCAGCAGTGGTTGGTGATCAAGGCACTGGACTCCCACATGGAGTCCCAGACCTCACAGCCCGCTTTATCACTCTCTCTCTCTCTGGTGAGTGCACATGCCCTGTAGCAAATTAAATAATACATAAAATTAAATCAAGAAACGCAGTTTGTCTTCACAAAAGACATCAGCAGCCTTGACCACTTGCCTTGATGACATTAACTCTCCTGCTGTCATATAACCCAGAGGGACCAGGGTTTCCTGTGACCTTGTGCCGACTGAATTTGGTAAGCAGGAGCAGGGTCTCTCAGGAAGAGGCACACTTGCCAAAAGGTGGGAGATAAACCCCACGAATGCTCAGAAGCCCCCAGTGAAGTGTTTTGTTTTTTAAAAGATTATTTCACTTTGTTTTATTTACTTATTTAAATTTGACCAGAGAGGGACACAGTGAGAGAGAGAGAGAGCGAGAGGGAAAGTGAGAAAACAAGCCACCAGGTCTGGGACTCAAAACGTGGTCGGCCATGTGGGAGTCCAACGCCCTTACCCATGCCACCTGCCAGTCCCTCCAGTGAAGTTTTTAGGGTCCAATTATCTGGGAAATATTAGGATATCCTATTTACACTAAAATGTTATTATACTGGGGCCTGTAGGTGGTGTAGTGATTAAGGTGCTGGACTCCCACATGGCCAACCATGGTTTGAATCCCAGACCTGGCAACTTGAAAATCACACCAGGTTGTATACATACACAGCCAAAGTCGCAGGGGCAGAATGGAGTAGAAGAGATTGCAGTGGCCATCGCCGCTGGAGGGTGATTCACTTTTCCTCTCGTTGTCTCTCTCTGCTAAGAGAGAAGCCAGCAGGTGGCATGATGATTAAGGTGCTGGACTGCCACAGGGCCGACTACAGTTCGAGTCCCAGACCTATAGGGCTGCTTTCTCACTTTCCCTCTCTGTCTCTCTGGTCAAATTGAAAAGTAACAATAAATTAAATTAAGTAATTCTTAAAAAAAAAAAAAAAGGAAAGAAAGAAAAAGCCAAGGGCTGGCAGGTGGTATGGTGATTAAAGGCACTGGACTCCCACATGACTAACAGCAGTTCAAGACCTGGACCTGGCAGTTTGCTTTCTCACTTTCCCTCTCTCTGGTCAAATTAAAATAAGTAAATAAAGCTAAATAAAAATGATTCTTTAAAAAAATAAAAAGTTACAGAACCTCACACCACCCATTTCTAAGAGGCCTCTGTGGGGTGAGGCATGTGCACATCCAAATACTATGCTCTGACCCCCGGTGGGAGCACAGGCAGCGCTGGCAAGAACAGGCTCTGTGGCAGACACAGGCCACAACACAGCCACCTGCTGCTAGGGCTGCTGGCCGTCAGACCCAGCGTTGCCCGAGTACCTGGTGCAGACACCGCGCCCTCCGGACAGCACCAGGATAGCAGGCTCTGGCCATCCCAGGTGAAGGCCATCCTCGCCACCCTCAAAGGCAACTCTCCCTGAGGAGCAGCCCTGGGCTTGCTGCCGAGCCCTGCGAAGGTCTGACCCCGTTCACCAAGTGGCCGTGTGAGCTGATTGCCCAGTGAGGACAAAGCACACAGCACCTTCTGTGAAATGCACTGCAGAATGGCTGAGCGCATCTGGAAGCAAATCCTACCTAGGAGGCTCCAGCCCCCAGTGAACTCCTTCCAAATTGCCTCCCTCTCCCTTGACCCACTCAGGGCTTGTGGCAGGTGTTCTGTCAGCTGCTGGGAGGGGAAAGTGCGGACACAGCGTGTGGACACGTGTGCACTGGGCCCCTGGGAGGGCTGGCCCAGGGGAGGGAGAAGGTTTTCCCAGCAGGCAGAACTAAACTGCCACAGGTAGCCCATGCTTGGATCTACAACGGGCAATGTCCAGGAAGTTGAACAGTGGGCCCGACTCAGAAAGACCATGACTCTTAGCCAGCTGTGGTGGTGCTGAGGTAACCCAGTGCTCTGCAATGCTGAAGCCATGAGAGAAGGCCCTGGGTTCATGTCCCAAGGTTTCCCTGTGCGTGCTGGGTACGAAAGTGCCCAGGATCCTGGCTTGGGGTGAATTGCAACATAGAAACTTTTAGAGGTATTCTCTCTCTCATAGAAGAAATTAAAAAAAAGAAAAAAGAAAAAAAGATAGGAAGCTCAGGAGTAAGATTTGTGGAAAAGGGGCCAGGAGGTGGCATGGTAGTTAAAGCACTGGACTCTCGTATGGCCGACTGTGGTTTGAGTCCAAGGCCTGAGACCAGCAGTTAGCATAATAGCTATCTTGCTGGACTCCCATGTAGTCGACCATGGTTTGAGTCCCAGATCTGGTGGCTTAAACTCACGCTGGGCGCTTGTGTGTGCGTGCCCAAGATCCCAAGAGGAGAATGGAGAAGGGATTGTGGCGTGACCATCCGCCCTAGGGGACGATTTCTTGCTTTCTGTCTCTCTGTCTCTCTCTTTCTGATGAGCGCACACGCCCTATAGCAAAAACCTCTACACCCCCCCCCCAAAAAAAAAAGAAAAAAAGAAAAAGGCCTAGTGGCTTGAGAATCATGCTGGTGCATGCCCAAAATCCCTGGAAGAGAGTGGAGAAGGGATTGTGGCACAGCCATCACCCCTGGCGGGATGACTTCTCCCTCTCCCTGTCTCTGTCTCTGTCTCTCTCCAGCAAGCACATGCACCCTATAGCAAAGGCCTTCAGAAATAAAGAAGTTTAGGGAAGAAGGAAGTGTTTGGCCCCCAGCACAGGTACAGGTGCAGGGTCAGCCTAGCCCCACAGAGAAGAGACACAGCAGTGACGGCTCTGCCATTCCAGCCAAGACCCCTGCGCTAGCCCCTCTGTGGACCCACAGAATTTCCCAGTGACTTCCGTGGTCCCCTTCAGACAAAGAGCCCATCCTTCCATGCAGGTGGTAATGGCCTCACACCATGAACCCACGGCTAAGGGGGAAGTGGAAAGTGTACTGCTGTCTTCACCAAAAGCCAGAACACCCAGGTCCGGGAATGAGGGAGGGGAAGGTCCCCAGTGAAGCCTCTGCCCTCCTCCTACCACCTTGGCTCAGCAGGTACGAAGGTCCCGGTATCTGAGGAGGGACAATGTCTACCAGGAAACCCAGTCCCATTTCCACTGAGCTGGAAGATGAGGTGGCTCCAGACCACTGGGGTCCTCAGGTCACAGAGCTGGATGGTAAAAATGAGGCTGTTTCTCTCCAGGTGATGGGTCCCAACCACCACAGAGAAACAGAAGGTGTTTGCTGTGGCCCGAACTGTGTCTCCCCCAAATTAATGTGGACACTCTGACCCTTAGTGCCTCACAGCACATCCGGATAAGGTCTTCGCAAAGATATTCAAGTTAAAATGAGCTCGTGAGGGTGGGCCCTGATCCAATCTGACCGATGTTCTTGTGAGAAAAGGACACAGACACAGAGAAAAGACCAGGCAAGGACTCAGCCCGGGGACATCCTATGCCAAGGAGGGAAGTCTCAGGAGCCAGCCCTGCTGACACCTTGACTTCCAGCTTCTAGGACTGTGCGATCTTCAATTTCTATTTGAGCTACTTAGTCTGTGGTATTCATTACAGCAGCCCAGCCAACTAAGGGCCGCCAAGGGGCTAGAGGACAGTGCCCGATTCAGCGCCCTGCTGTCCCCCACAGAGACACAAGGGGCCAGCCCAAGGGAGGAGATCTGGGCCCCCCGAGGCCCCAACATGGGGAGAGAGATGGCGAACAGGGGATGGCTTTGGGGTTCAGGGGGAAGTATGTATGGTCAAATTGATATCTCTTGGGCCACTGGTGGCATGGTGGTTCAGGTGGCTGGATTCCATAATGCTGACCACATGGTTCGAGTCCCAGATCTGGCAGCTTGAGTAACACACTGGGAGCACGTGCATGTGTGCCCAAAATCCTGAAGGGAGGGAGAAATGCAGAAGGGACTGCGGCAAGACTATCCTCCATGAGGGGTGCTCTCTCACTTGCCTTCTCCCTCTCACTGCCTGTCTGTCGAGCACATGTGCCCTCTAGCAAACTAAAGAAGGAGGAGGAGGAGGAAGAGAAAAGAGGAAGAAGAGAAGAAGAAAAGAAAGAAGTCTCTTTCCCAAAATAAGGCATCTGGCAGGAGTGGATGGTCTGTGCTAGCTGGGGGTGCAGGTGATGAACGTTGCACCTAGACACAAGGCGGGCAGCTGCAGAGAAGCCAGCTGAGCCCCAGGACGATGACTTCCAGGGTGACCTCCAGTAAAAGGTTTTGGCCTCCTGGGCCAAGGGCAGCCGTGGGAGGTGTTGGAGAGAGGAACTTGTGAGACTGGGGCCTCTATCCTGAGGCTCCGCCACTGGCAGGCCGTGTCCCCAGGCAGAGGGGCTCGCTCTGGGCCAGGTGCCTTTCCCACGTCTTTCTGTCTTCCCAGGGCAGGGGCTGTGCTCCATCCCTGTGGCTTCCCTGCCCACATTCTGCAATCAGTCAACAAATGGTCCTCAGCTGGGCATGCCATCTGTCTCCTCCTGGCCAGGCATGCGGTAGGATGACATGGTGCAGATGCTACTGGCCTTTGCTACTGCTGGCCAGTCTGGGCCAGGCAGGGGTTCCCCAGCCCACCCTCCACAACTTAGCTCCCCACTCTGTAGGGCAGGCAGGAAAGCAGGGGCAGGAATGGGGCCCACCACACCCAGGGCCATGCCTGAGACTCCTGGAGGGGAGGGTGGAGCTGAGCTCAGCTCTCCAAGTTGCATAAGTAGCGCCCTTCAGCTCCCCAAGCAATTCAACTGCTTCCCATCCGGGCTGGGGGCAGGTGGACTCTTGAGGGGCGAGGTGGGGGGGCTCTAGGCAGGTACCCACCATCACCCTCCACAGTACCCTGATGCCAGCCCCCACATCTGCCCATAGCTGGTCCATGAAGGCCGACCCCAAGACTGACGAGTAGAAAGGCACTTTAAGGGGGTGAGTGGGGCACAGGTGGGAGTGGAGCTGGCGGCTGACTGGACTACCCTGTCTCGTGGCTGCCCCGGTTCACTGGCCAGCACAGGCTTGCGGGGCACTGGCACCATTAGTCCTCATGGGGCAGGGACCTCCAGGTATGGCACAGGGTCTGAGAAGGGGCCCGGCCGGGCCCAGTAGTCCAGCGCTCGAACCCGATAGGAGCCAGAGACAACAGCCGAGTCTGTGGACACAAAGGTGCACGCCTGTTCCTGATTGCGTGTCCACCCGGGTCCCTAAAGCCCCAGACTCTGGGCTTCGGAAGGCCCTGGATCCCACCCACCCAGAACAGTGCCAAGGCCCAGGGATGGGAGTGGTTGAGGACAGGGCAGAGGGTAGTGGGCGCACCTGGGCTGAACACAAAGAGGTTAAAGTTCGATGGCTTCCGGCGGACTGGGGTGTATACCTTCCCATCTAGGGAAAACTGGATCTCATAAGTCCACAGGCACCTGCGGAAGTCAAATTCGGGACAAGGCTGGGGTCCAGATGGCCCCTGAAGGCCTGGGGTAGGCAGAGCGGGATGGACTCACAGCCCTATTCTCCCAGCAGGCCCACCCCTGGGCACTTCTGCAATGATGACAGGGCCACTGGCTGAAAGCAGAGGACTGGAGCTCAACTGTTCCCTTCAGATATCCACCGGAGGGGCCGGGCACCCCGCCAGACAGGGCGTGAGACCATGGGAGTCCGCACAGGTGTGCGCAGTGCCATGGGGCACAAAGGACAGAGAAGTGTGGCCTGTGGAGGAAGGGAACTGGCCAGCCACAGCACAGCGACCAGAGGGACACTGCGGTCCCACGAAGCTGGGGTGAAGACAAAGACAGGGCACTCAGGACCAGGCAGGGGAGGGGCAGCGGCCCCACTCACGCACTTGGACCCCACATGCTCATCTGACCAGACCAGGACCAGCTGCCCTCGGGTCAGGGGTAGAGCGCGGAGCTGCGTGACCTGAGGGAAGGAAGGTGCCACGATGGGGTACGGCGAGGGCTAAGTGAAGGCAGCTGCGTGGCTGTGGAAGGTGGCCGCTTACCTGGCCTGGTGGTTTCTCAGGACGTGCACACACATGCACCAGCAGGAGTGAGGGCAGCGGGAGTTCAGGGTGCAGCGTCAGGTGGCCGCCATCGGGAAAAGGGCGTGGCGCCGTAGCTACTGTGTCCTGGGCATAATGGCAGGTCCTCAGGGCCCTCAGGGAGGAGTCGGTGACCCCCCTCAGGACCTCAGGTGCTGCCCTAATCCTACCCTGACAAACCTCAGATGCACGCATGCGCCGGAACTGCTCCGGGGAGGGGAAGGCTGGCTGACCCATGCTCTGCCACTCACCATGAGGGTTGCTAATCTGGTTGTCCAGGCGGTGCGTGACATAGACGAGCCCTGTGGAGCCAGATGCTGAGGCCTTGCCAGCCCTGTCCCTGCAGGGCCCATCCCACCAGTCACTAGTAGGGCAAGAGACCTCCCTGGGAGCCCACACACACACTTACCTGGGCTGCGGGGCACACCCTGCAGGCGTAGTGTCACAGCCACGCTGTGGTTGGCATGGGCACGAGTATCGTCGCTTGCGTAGACGAGCACCGTGGCACGCCAAGCTTCAGTGGGGCTGCTGGGTTGGTGGGCGCTGGCCAAGATGCCCACAGTGTGGTTGCTGTCCAGCACCGTACCTGCCTGAGACACCTCAGCCCAGAGCTGCTCTCCATCTGCGGGGACAGGGGAGGGTGGGAGAGCTGTGATCACAAGAGATGCGTGTGCCTCTGCCTTCTCAGCCCCCAGCTTCCCAGCATCTGTTCCCCTTGGTAAAGGAAGACCCTGGCTGGGAGGTCCTGGTCATACCACAACCTCTGCAGCCCACAGAGCCTGAGAGGAGGGAGAAGGGAGTTGGGAGGACAAACCCCAAAGAAACAAGACACAGCTGGAGGTGTGCTCGGCCCCCCACCCCATAATGCATGGCCACGCTCCCTCTGCCTCAGGGCCTTTACACAAGCCAGTCCTTGTCCTGGGAGACATTTGTGCCCAGCCCCACTCATTTCCCTCTCTGGTCCTCACCCAGCCCCAGGGGTCAGCATCATGCTTCCATTCCGACCCCGCACAGACAAACACAGGGCAGAACTCACCCAGCAGGGCCAGCAGCCCCATGGCGGTGAGCACTGGCTTGCGCAGCAGCTGCACGTGAGGTGGATGGGTTTTGTTGACCTGGAAGCGGGCAGTGAGGGTGCGCTGCGAGAAGGGGTGTGGGTGGTAGCTCAGGAAGGCGTTGTCGTTGCTCAGGAGAGTGTAGCGGACGGAGGAGCTGGTGTTGGCCACTAGTAGGTTCTGGTGCTGCGCAATGACCTGCATTGATGGGCATCCAGGGCGGCTGGGACCAGGGCCGCTGTGACCACAGTTCCCTCCTGCTCCTAGGGGGTTAAGGCCTCACGGTGGTGGGAGGGGCACGCATTAGATTGGATGCAGATCTGCAAGGGCAGAGGGCAGAAGGCAGGCCCACCTTCACGACCAAGGCTGCGTAAGTCACATCGGCCCTCCATGGCTGTGGCAGTGACCAGCCCACCAGCGGGTCTGCCTCGTCGTTGTAAACGGGGGTGTCCGTGAACGTGGGGAAGAGCTGCTGGATCTGCTGCATGGTTGCCTTCTCCTGCTCCAGGATGTAGATGGAGCTGCCGGCACCCTGCAGGTAGTGCCCGGCCTCAGCCTGAGGCTCACCTCATGCAACACAGTCGCAGGGCAGGCAGAGGGGACCGGCCGCACCTTCTTATGCAGGGAGATGTAGTCCAGCCGCACGCCTACTTCCCCCGTGAAGAAGTTGGTACCATTGTGACAGTGCTCCAAGAGGCCCCAGCAGAGTGGGGACCGTGGTGGAGGGTGGAAAGAGTCACCAGGGCCACCCAGCCGAAGTGCTGGGCTGGCAGCTCGAAGACCCTCGGAACAGGCATCGTAGTAGTTCAGGAACCCTGAGGTGGAAGCGGCCTTGGTGTCCTGTCCATGCCTCGAGGAACCAGCAGTTGCACTCTGCTTTCTCCTGTCCTCCCCAAAGCTCAACTGGGCCCCAGGAAGCACTGCCCACCTTGCATGGTCATGGTGACATTGTCGAAGTCGTGGTGGTCAGGTTCATTCCACGTCTCGAAGTTCCACTTGGAAACGTGCTCCAGCCCGTACCTACCTGCAGATGTCTCTGCTGTCATGTGCAGACCCCACCCCACAGGGTGGGAGTGGACTGCAACTCCCAGGGATGGTGCCCACGACTGAAGGTTTGGATGTGATGGCAGTGTCTGGTTTGAGACAAGTCCTTCCCCACCCAAGTTGGCCTCCCTACCCTGTCAGGAAGCCCAGGGTGGGGGGAGGAAAGCCTGCTCTGGGATGCCCCCTGTGGGACCTGCACCCTGCCCACCAATGTATCTCCTGGCCAGGAGAGAGACCAGGTCCTTCCACTCAAACACCTGCTGCTTGTCCTCAAAGTCGGTGAAGCGTCCCGAGGGGCTGCCCATCAGCTCAAATCCTGTAACACACAGCGGTGGCTGCCCCACAGCCCACCCACCTGCACAACACCCACGCCCACCAGGCCTGGACACCACCCCTCAGGGGCTGGTCCTGAGGCAATAACCGGATAGGACCCAAGGCAGCTCAGAAGAGAGAGGGGGCAGAGCTGGGGGTGGGCAGGGCCCTCACGGGTGGAGATATGTGGGTCCAGAGGGCAGATTCATTCACTCACCCGGGAGGAGCTGGTTCACCCTCAGAAGGTCCAGGTACCTGTCTAGGTGGGTGAAGTTGTAGCTCACACCCTGCCCAGCCGATGCCCTGAGGAAGAACAGTCTATGAAGGCAGTAGGTGGCAAGGGGTTAAGGGGCTGAATCCCACATGGCCAACTGAGCACTTTGAGTCCTGGACCCAGTTGCTTGAAAAACACATCTGGAGCATGTGTGTGCCTGCCCACAATCCCGAGAGAATGGAGGAGAAGGAACTGCAGTGTGGCCATCACCCTGTGGGGCAATTTCTTACTTTATCTCTGTCTCTCTCCAGTGAGCACATGTTTTTTGCCTAGAGCAAAAAACTTAGAGGGAGAAAGAGGGGAATTTTTTTTTGTAGGGAAGAAAATTAGGGAGAAAAATAGTTAAGTAAGACAGTAGTGGGACACAGAAATGGTTTATTACCTGTTGATAACGTGTATAGTATTCTCAACTGGACTGGTCTGAGGTATACTTCATGTTGGGTAAATTCTCTCTACAAGCTAAATGATGTATAGCAATCGAATGTATAAAAAATAATAATAAATTTAAAAAGGGGGCCAGCAGGCGGCGTGGTAGTTAAGGGCGCTGGACTCCCACATGGTCGACTGCAGTTCGAGTCCTGGAACCGGAGGCTTGCTTTCTTGCTTTCTCTCTCTCTCTCTCTCTACCCCTCTCTGGTCAAATGAAAATAAGTAAATAAATAAAGTTAAATAAAATAATTCTAAAAAATTATGATAAATCAATCTTAGTTTAAAAACATAAAAAATTTTAAAAAGGAGAAGAAAGGCAATGATGCCTCTCAGTGACCGGGCAGCACTATCCACATTCAGGCAGGGCCCTTCCTCCTTAGAGAACAGCGACACTACTGGAAGCGTATTAGTCACTCAACAGCCTAACACGAACTGGGAAGTCTGGATATGGAACCCTCACCCCTAAGCCTTCGAGAGATGGAAGACTTGGGTTGGGGGTTCAGGACAGTCATAAAGCTCAGGGGTGGGGAGGATAGGGCACCCTGAGGACAGTGACTAGGGAGTGGGGGCTATGGGACCAGATCTGGGTAGAACCCAGAGGGTGCTCAGTCTTGGTTCTCTGTACCTCCCAGAAACCAGGGCCTAAAATCTGGCCTGAAAGTACCTGTATCCCCGATCCGGCACCCCAAGATACTGCATGGATAGGCAGGAAAGGGAGAGGACCTCTCCCACACTGTACTCATCCCAGGCTGGCCCCAATCTCCATAAGGCTCATGTCCCAAGAAGAGACAGGTGTTATCAGGTAATCCCATGAATCTTTTTAAAAATTATTTTATTTAACTTTATTTATTCATTCATTTATTTATTTCAATTTGGCCAGAGAGGGATAGAGAGAGAGAGAGAGCAAGCTGCCAGGTCTGGGACACGAACCACAGTCAGCCATGTGGGAGTCCAGCACCCTCAACCACCAAGCCCCCTGCCAGCCTCTCGCATGAATCGTTAAGAGCACATGAGATGTCCCGTGAAAGGGACGTGACAAGCAGTGAGTGAGGGCAGCGGTCAGGAAGGAGGACCTCTCTGAGAAGATGAAGCTAAGGCCTGCCAACTGACGGGGCGAGTAAAGGATGAGGCTGTCTGGGGGAACTGAAGTGAAGAGCATGTGCAAAGGCCCTGAGGTAGAACGAGCTGGTAAGGAAACGACAGAGAAATGGCTAATGGGCCTGGGGTATAGTAAGGCAGAGATGGTCAGATTCGGTGAAAAAGCAAGAGTGGGTAAAATATGCGGCCTAGAACAAACACACTTTGAATATAATGACACGAATAGGTTAAGAGTAAAAGGAGGAAGAAAGATATACCATGCTAAGACTAATCAAAAGAACTCTGGAGTGAGTGTGTTAGTTTTCATGCATTAATTATCATACCAATCTACAGTACCTTTCAGGGCAGGGAATATTGCCAGAGATAAACAGAATCATTTCATAAAGTGGTAAAATCACAACAAAGGAAATAAAACCACCAAATGTCAGGGAGATGAGGTTACATGAGGGTCCCGGACTGCTATCAAGGTGGCACCTTGATTCTGGATGATGTGGGAACTAGCTCAGGGTTCTGAGCAGAGTGGCTCCATGACATTCTCAAAAGATCTTTCTGGCAGCTAACTGGAAACAGTGGGAAGCGGAAGGCTGGTGAGGGAGCCACCGTGGTCACCCTGGGGAAGGTTTGTGCCTGGCTGGTGGAAGCCGGGAGGCAGTAAGGAGAGACCAGAGCAGACAGATTCCCAGGACAGAGAGGACAGCATCCGCGGGTGGCTTTGAGTTGAACCAGAGAGAGACAACTCCAGGACAGCTCTGTGGGTTTCAGCTCGAGCAGCTGGACAGGCAAGGAGTTAAGATTGGTTTCAGTTTTGGCCAAGTGAGTTTGGCCATCTGAGGGTGGACTAGGTGAGGAAATCAGGGCTCAGGGGTCCAAGCTGCGGAAGCTTCTGCCCAGATGCCCGGGGTGGGTGGAGGAGAGAGCTCAAGTAAATGGTGACCTTGGGAGTGGGGGGGAGGGATGTCTGTGTTTAGCTTAGAGTACACACGCAGGTGGGTAAGAGGGTCTGAAGGCTTCTAGAACACATATTCCCACCTACATCTTGCAAGGCAGCCTGTGGGAATGATGCGCCCCCTTGTGGCAACTGGGCTTGTTCCACATAGGCCATGTTTGGGTGGAGGCCAGCACAGGGTCACCAGGATGGACTGTGGAATCTGGCCCTAAACAACTCTGAGTCTGCATCCCACACCACAGTCTAGCCAGCCCACGTTATCCTCCCATACACAGTGCAGGTCTGGGCAACCCCACACCTCCCTCCCTGCCCTCCCTCCTACTTCTCAATCACATGAAAGTCTGGCCCAAGCCCACCACCCATCTGCTCACTCTGCCAGCCCCTCTGCCCAGGGGCTGTGTACCTAGCAGAGCCACAGCAGGGGTCCACTCTGCCTCACCTTCCCTCCATCCAAAGGTCACACTGGTAGCAAAGAAATGGAACTGAACAAGCGCTTGGATAAAAATTAAGTGCCAGCCAGCCAGGTTCCAAAGTCCCTCAGGTAAGTGAGGGGGAATGGGGGTGGAGGTGATGATGCTGAGAAGCGAAGGCGCCAGGGATCTCTGGGCTTTTTCTGCAGACCTCTGGGCGAAAACCCTGGGGCACCTAACACTGAGCAATTCACAGCCAGGCCTCAGGGCTCACTGTCCTAGGCCAAAGGGAGCACAAGCATTCGACGTTCACAGAGACTGTCACCCTGGGTAGACTTGAGTGTCAGCTGGCCCACTAAGAGGATCTAGGAACGCCCAGGAACCAGGATACCACCCCCAGGGGCAAGCCTGGGCAAAGGAACCCCGGGGAGGAGCCCTTGGACTCCACAGTTGGTGCTCAAGTCTCCCTTCACGGCGGCTCGCGGTATCCCTGGTGGTGTTTGAAAGATCCAAACCGGGCCAAAGACTGAGGTGGTGAGGTCAAGTGCACAGCCCACCCCAATACTCCGAGCCCTGCAAAGCGGTCTGGTAGGAGACACGGAGCCCCGACCTTACCCAGCCCGGGTCCAGAAGCTGCAAGGGCCTCCCATCCTTCCAGACCCCGCGCAGAGCACCGGCGGGGCCCTCGGAAGCCGCACAACGACCTCATTCACCGCTCTGGCAGTGTTCCTCGTCCCCCAAGTCCCCCGCCCCCAGGCCTGAGCGCGTGCGCCGCCAGGAACCAGCTAGCGCAGGGTCTGGTGAGTGCGCGGGGACCCCGGTCGCGCGCGTGCTCGGGGTAAGGGCGCGGAGCTGAGCCGCCTGTGCACTGGGGTGCGGGGAGAACGTGCCGGGTGAGGAGCCCGGCAGGTCCAGAGGCCGTGCTTGCAAAGGATGGCTCGTGGGCGCGTTTGCAAGACAGGATAGGGTGAGAGCGAGGGGCGGGGCCCAGGCCGCGCGTGCTCCGAGGCGGGGTGCCGCGGGTGTGTTTGTGTGGGGCGTTGTTGCTGAAGCAGGGCAGGCGGACACCAGCCCGCCTTCTGGGACAATCTACGCCCGTGGCTCGCGGATGGGGGTGGGGGGGCAATAGCCGGGTCCTCAGTCTTCTCGGATCCGGAATCACGCAGCAAGCCAGTGGTTGGCCCGGCCTATTTCCACTGGTGGTAGGGATCTAATGTTTCCTTTCCAAATAACTGTACTCATTTAAAATGGTTGACTTAAAAACAAAATTAAGGAAATGATCACGAGGCACAGGACTGGACAGGAATTTTACCATCGGGGTTCAGGCAGGTCGGAGATGCTGGGGACTGTAAGCAACTGCCAAAATCTGCATCTGGGAGAGGGGCCGCGCAGTCTCTCTGGGCAGCAGAGCCCAGAACCCCTAGACACTGCAGCACCAGGGCACAGAGAAAGGGGGAGGCAGGGATAGGCCCCAAAGTCCTACAATTCTCTCGCAACAGGTGTGAACTGTTGCGTTTCCTCACCTGCTTTGGCGGCCCAGTTTGCTACAGAGATGCGGCTGAAAGGGAAGGGAGCAGGGGGCAGGCACTGTACAGGGGGCAGGCACTGTCCACTCCCTGCACTACCTCCATCTGCCCAAAATCTCAGCACAGGCAGACTCCGGCGCCTCTGGAAATTCCTGATCCCTCTTCCTGAGAGGGAGCAGAGGCCACCTGCTACACTTGGTTTTTCTGTGACACCCAACCCTGTCCTGCACAGGCACCCCTGCTGGGTGCACCCAGGATCCCCTCCCTGCTTTTCTCCAGGGAGCAGGCCCAGCTCTCAAGAGTCTCCCTTGATTCTCCAGCTGCCCCTCTGCAGGTAATGAGGCAGGCCCAGAGGTTAGTGTTTTAAGACTCCTTTGGTAACTGCCCTGAGGAGATGCTGGGCAAACAGCTGCCCCAGGGACCAGTGGGTGCCAGGCTAGACTGCGGGAGGAGGAGCTGTGGCTCAGGTCCTGCAGGGAGGGGTGTTCAGAATTCAGAGGACTGGACAGGGCAAGGATTCGAAGAAGGCATCCCAGGTGTGGGGCCGTCTGAAGGTGTGCAGGGTACCCAACTCCTGCGGTATTCACTGTGCTAATGTCTCCTGTCAGGGCTCCTTCACACTTCTGGCCATGTTGCCCACATTCCACTGCCAGTGATCTTTTTCAGCCAGGCCCAGAACTGTGGAAGTGGGCAGGGCTTGGCAGACTTCCCAAAAGAGGTCCTAAAGTGGGGCTGAGTGTCCAGGGTGCCTCGATGGAAGGCCCCTCTCCTGGGCTCTGCACCCGCCACTCTAACATTTCAGTGGGTGGGAGGGAGTACAGCCAGGGTCCCAGCTGGCTCTGTGAGACTCTTGGCTATTGTTCTGAGCTCCCTTCTCAGGACCTGTGGGACAGGAGGAGCAAGGCTTGTAGCTAGGGTCCCAGCTAGGCTGCCTCCAGTGCCAGGGCCTCTAAGGAACAGCCCCAGGGGCTAAAGTAGTCCCACAGACAGGAACTAAGTCTTACACGTGATCCCACTCACCCCTCAAGGACTGGTGATGAAGCTTCTTTTTATTTTTGGGGGGAGAGGTTTTTGCTATAGGGTACATGCGCTCGCCAGAAAGAGAGAGACAGAGAGACAGAAAAAGAGAAATCACCCCCCAGGGGGAATGGCCATGCAGCAATCCCTTCTCCTCCATTCTCCTCTCGGGATCTTGGGCATGCACGCACGCACACGCACCCGGCATGAGTTTAAGCCACCAGGTCTGGGACTCACACCACGGTCAACTACATGGGAGTCTAGTGACATAGCCATTACGCTAACTGCTGGTCCCTGGTGATGAAGTTTCTTCATGATTCACTGTAAGGACAGGAACCTGAGGTCTGAATGACAATTTTATAAATAGCAGCTCACCCTGGCTTTCCCACCCATGGCCACTGCCCTTAAGTGTCTAAGCTCACCAGTTTAATTCATTTCAAGGGATCATTTATCTTTGCCCCAGCCCTTCGAGGAGGAACTGTTGGTCCCACCCTGAGGCAGGGCCTGGGCTGGAATCCAGGCAGAACCAGGACCCCTGCCTCCAGAGCAGGAAGAGCTGGTAATAGCGTCTTGATGCCTGGCAGCCTTCCCACCCTCAGCCATACACAACACACATGCATGTACCCACCCATGAAAGCATGTACAACCACACCCCCAGCCGCTCTGTGCCTGCTTTCCACACGAGGGTACAACAGATTGCCCAGTGCCAAGTTGGCCTCTGCCCCCTGCTCCAGCTTGGTCCACACTTGCTTGACTTCTTTTTTTTGGGAGGTTTTTGCTATAGGGTGCAAAAACTCCCCCAGAGCCCCAGGGCCTGCATGAGATGCTGAAGGCCAGACTGCAACAGAACTGCTCATGCAGTTTGCTGTGTGCCTGGGTGCTCGCCAGAAAGACAGAGAGAGAAAAGAGAGACAGAAAGTGAGAAATCACCCCCCAGGGAGATGGCCATGTCACAATCCCTTCTCCTCCATTCTCCTCTCAGGATCTTGGGCACGCACACACACGCGCCCGGCGTGAGTTTAAGCCACCGGGTCCAGGACTCGAACCACAGTTGACTATGTGGGAATCAAGTGACGTAGGCATTATGCCAACTGTTAGTCTCTTATTTAATTTGCTTGACTTCTTAGGGATATCCAGTGACTGGACCAGGAGACCATCCCCTCCCTCAGGCCCTTCCCAGATGAGGAAGTAGAGAAGGGTCCTGTCCCCGACCCCAGACCCCAGAGCTGAAAAGTGCTCTCCTGCTAGAGCCCAGACACTCAAGCACGCTGTTCCAGCCATCCACAAACCCCCACCCCTCCTTGCAGTTACAGCAGCTGCACCTGGAGTCTTACTCCTCGGAGGCTGTGAGTTTATCAGAGGCCCAAACAACTGTAATAATTTGTGAGCCTCTGATTACACTACAACTCCCTGGATTAGCCTCTCAGGTAACACTCACTGGGAGAAACCCATGACTCAGCAATCTTTGGGGTAAATAATTTAACTGCAAGCCCAGCAAGCCCAGCACGCCCAGCACACAGCGCTGCCCACAGGGCGGCGTCAAACCTGCCGCTGTCCCTTCTCCTGCACAGGAGCCAGAGGGCTCTGGGGTCCTCCAGCCTTGATATCCACGGCCCACTGAGCCTGTGAGGGGCTCCTCCAGGTAAGAATCATCCTTGGGGCCCCTACTCAGTCACAGCAGAGGAAGAGGCGGGAGCCAAGGCTGTGAAGGCTCAGCCAGAAATGCTCCGTATCCCATGGTTTCTCTGGGGGACTCTATGGCATTTTAGTCATTTGGCACACCTGGACCCTCAGGGCGCCTGCACGGTGGGGACTTTAGACGAATGGGATCACAACTCTCACAATGTGCCCTAAAGGGTCAGGACCGCCATACGGCTCCCACAAACGGGGACCACCAGTCCTCTACTCCCCACGGAAACCCCAGCACCACCTTAGGTTGGTGGCACCAGGCACCAGGGTGTCCTGGGCTCTGAGAGAGCAGAGAGCATTTGCTAACTTTGCTGAGGGGAGTTTTCAAACGAGAGTACTTTGGAACCTGTAAACAGGACAGACCCAAGGCTGCGCCTGTGATCGGTTTGGCCTTTAAGTGCCGCCTCCATGCCGCCCAAGGTGCTCTCTGAGCCCAAAGGCCAAGGCCAGCTGTTTGCAGAGGGCTGGGCCCCTGGGTGACTGCCCTGAGGGACGGTGCAGGCCTATCCCACAGGGCCCCGTACAGTCAGAAGGGGCTTTAGCACACGCGTAGGGAGAGGGCGCTCCCCATCCCAGGACACCCAGGCAGGGGAGACGGATGCCAGTTACCCCAACACCCTCCCAGCTGGCCACGCCAGGCCACAAGGATGGGTGAATGGGACGAGCACGGATTTGGGGTCCCAGCACCCAAGGCCTGACAAAGGGGCTGCCTGCCAGCTCCAGGGCCTGTGGTGCAGCAGTGGTGGAGGGACTGGCTGGAGGTGTCCACAGAAGGAGAAGATGATGGTATGGATTGCACTAGGGTTCTGGTGTGGGCAAGGGGTAGGGAGCAGCACTCCTCACCAAGTTGGGGAGCCAGATGGGGAGTGGCAGGAGCTCAGGTTTGGCGGCACAGCAGCTGGGTCTCTGTGACACCTGACCTGAGGCAAACTTATAGACTTGCAGTTCGGCCCATTCACTCTTTGGGAGAGATGGGCTTCTGAAGGTGTTAGGGTAGATTTCAGGCAGCGCTGCAGAGCCAACGGGCTGGGGCTGTGCCTGGAGCGAACACCTGCCGGGTACGCGCAGCCACTTGGCCTCAGCGCATCCTGAGCTTGGTGTCCTCTCTCTGGCCAATCCTTCCAGCTTCTGAGAGCAACCTCTGATCTCTGCCCCTAGTGACAAATGAGGAGTGTCCACTCCTGTGTCTCATCTGAACCTGGCTCCTAGGCTCGATGAGCTAGACTGGAGGCCCCCATGACCATGCCCACTTTCCTTTCAGGGTGCCCTGAGGGACCTGGCATCGCAGCATGGAAATATCCCATGAGGCCTTGCAGCAGGATGGGGAGCTGGTGCTGGTCCGACGGCAACCCCCAGAGCCCCAGGGCCTGCGTGAGATGCTGAAGGCCAGACTGCGACAGAATTGCTCATGCAGTTTGCCGTGTGCCTGGGCACTGGTGCAGGCCCTGTTCCCTGCCATACACTGGCTGCCCCGGTACCGCCTACGGGAGTACCTGGTAGGAGACATCATGTCCGGGCTGGTAATCGGCATCATCCTGGTGCCACAGGCCATTGCCTACTCACTGCTGGCTGGGCTGCGGCCCATCCACAGCCTCTACACATCTTTCTTTGCCAACATCATCTACTTCCTCATGGGGACCTCACACCACGTCTCCGTGGGAATCTTCAGCTTGCTATGCCTCATGGTGGGGCAGGTGGTGGACCGTGAGCTCCAGGAGGCTGGCTTTGACCCTTCCCAGGATGGCCCAGGACCCTGGGCCAACAGTAGTGCCCTCAACAACTCAGCCATGACACTGGTGCTTGGGCCACAGGACTGTGGACGGGACTGCCATGCCATCCGCGTTGCTACAGCCCTAACGTTGATGACCGGGATTTACCAGGTGAGGAGTTGGCTGCCGGGGGCAGGGACCAGCTAGCCCAGCCACTCAGGGCATCCCTCAGGTGTTTGCCACTAGAAGGTGATACAGGGCCAGGGCTTCAGAGGAGTGGGCAGAACAAAGCACACACAGGTGGAGCACTGAGGGCATCCCAAGGCCAGGAACCAACACCTGAGAGGTAAGGTGTGGGGAGCTGGCCTGGAGATCTGCAGCCTGGGTGGGCACCAGAGGCCAGTGGGCTGTGGCTCAGATGGGACCCAAGGGCTGAGGCTGCCTTCCCATGAACCCCTCACCTGTCGAGGCCTGCCTTGTCCTCCTAGTCCCTCTTACCAGCTCCTCATCTGCACAGGAAGGAGATAGAGAGGGTGCCCTATGCAGGAAACAGGGGGGAGGAGATGCCTTTCGAGGGTCTGAAACCCAGAGGCTCAGTTCTGACATAAAACCAGTTCCTGTGCATGAGAGGGCGAGAAGTGACATCAGTAGCCAACTCTGTCCATGTGCAGCACTCACATGTGTCCGCATGCCTGCTGGTGTGCGCGTGCATGTGTGCACAGGATGGAAGCAGAGAGGCCCTGCGAGACATCCAGCTCGGGAAGTAAACAGCTCCGCAGTGGAACGTCCTGCTCTGTGCACAACCGTACCCCTCGGCCATCCTGGCACTGCTGACGTGGGGCACGTGTCTCTTGCCAGGCGGCCTGATAACCTGACCACTCTCTTTCCACAGGTCCTCATGGGCATCCTCAGGCTGGGCTTTGTGTCTGCCTACCTCTCACAGTCGCTGCTCGATGGCTTTGCCATGGGGGCCTCTGTGACCATCCTGACCTCACAGCTCCGGCACCTGCTGGGCGTGCGAGTCCCACGGCACCAGGGGCCGGGTATGGTGGTCAGCACGTGGCTGAGCCTGCTGCGCAACGCCGGGCAGGCCAACGTGTGCGACGTGGTCACCAGCACCGTGTGCCTGGTAGTTCTGCTGGCCTCGAAAGAGCTCTCAGACCGCTACCGGCACCGACTCAGGGTGCCACTGCCCACGGAACTGCTGGTCATTGTGGTGGCCACAGTGGTGTCCCACTTTGGGCAGCTGCATGAACGCTTTGGCTCAAGTGTGGCTGGCAACATCCCTACTGGCTTCGAGGCCCCTGAGGTGCCAGACCCCAAGCTGATGCAGCGTGTGGCACTGGATGCAGTGCCCCTGGCCCTCGTGGGCTCGGCCTTCTCCATCTCACTGGCAGAGATGTTCGCCCATAACCACGGCTACTCTGTCCGTGCTAACCAGGAGCTGCTGGCTGTGGGCTGCTGCAATGTGCTACCTGCCTTCTTCCACTGCTTTGCCACCAGTGCCGCCCTGGCCAAGAGCCTGGTGAAGATCGCTACCGGCTGCCGGACGCAACTGTCCAGCGTGGTCAGTGCCACTGTAGTACTGCTGGTTCTGCTGGTGTTGGCACCACTTTTTAGAGACCTGCAGCGAAGTGTGCTGGCCTGTGTCATCGTTGTCAGCTTGCGAGGGGCCCTGCGCAAGGTGAGGGACCTCCCCCAGCTCTGGCGGCTGAGCCGGACAGATGCATTGGTCTGGGTGGCCACTGCAGCCACCTGCGTGCTGGTCAGCACAGAGGCCGGGCTGCTGGCTGGCGTGCTCCTCTCGCTGCTCAGCCTGGCAGGCCGCACACAGCACCCGCATGCTGCCCTCCTCGCCCGCATTGGGGACTCAGCCTTCTACGAGGACACCACAGAGTTTGAGGGGCTTACCCCTGAGCCTGGGGTGCAGGTGTTCCGTTTTACCGGCCCACTCTGTTACACCAACAAGGACTTTTTCCTGCGGTCACTCTACAGCCTCACGGGACTGGATGTTGGACGCTGGGCTGCCAGGAGGAAGGAACGGGGCTCAGAGGTGGGGGTCAGTGAGAGCGACCCCATCGACAACAAGGACTCGGGCCCAGTCAGCAGCAGGGCTGCGCTGGTGGCCGGGGCGACTGGCTTCCACACAGTGATTATTGACTGTGCCCCCATGCTGTTCTTGGATGCAGCTGGCATGTCTATGCTGCAAGACCTGCGCCGAGACTATGAGGCCCTGGGCATTGCCCTGCTCTTGGCCTGCTGCAGCCCCTCAGTGAGGGATACTCTGAGGAAAGGTAGCTTTCTCAGGGAGGACCAGGAGGAGCAGCAGCTGTTCCACAGCGTGCACAGTGCCGTGCAAGCAGCCCGAGTGCGCCGCAGGGAGCTGGCAGCTGCCGACTCCACCCTCTAGCAAGGCCGAGGCCCGCTCGCCGACCTCTACTCCTTCCGAGAGACTGCGGCAGATAGTGCAAGGCATCACAAAGATCCTTGCCAAGGAGTGATGCCAAGGTCATCCAAGAGATACGCCTTGGGCCATGGCTGCTCTGGTCCTGAAGAAACCAGGGAGCCCCAAATGGGATGGGGCGAGTGGCGCTCTGAGCACACAAGGACCCCAAACACTCAGTAATGAAGAATCTCTACCTTTGAGACAACTGCTGCCAGGTACCAGCTTGGTCCTGATGCTGGGCGCCCAAGCAGTCGCTTGGCCTGAGCTCAGAAGGGCTAGGCCAAGTCTGACACACTGCGTGGTCTTACTCGCGTCCAAGGTGCTCAAAGGACATCCTGTCTCCTGCCAGGTAGTAGTGGGCAGCTGTGCCAAGGCATGAGGGTCTCTGTGTTTCTGGAAGAGCCTGCCATATTTAAGTGCTCCTCACACCTTTGTCTCTGTCCCAGCTGGACCTTGCAGGGTGGCCACCTGCTTCGGGGCAGATGGTCCAGCATCAGGGCCAAGGCAGTGTGACCAACACCACCTCAGCCCAGCCCTCAGGCACAGAGTCCCTGCACAGCCATATCTGGGAACATAGCACACTAAGCAACTTGCAATGGAATGCTGACTTGACCCTGAACCTACAAGGTCACCTACAAGGTCACCTCCCAGGGGACACCAGCCCTGGTGTCGTAGCCCTCCGCTACGATGCTCCCTCCCCACCTCACCCCATCCCTAGGCTGTCCTCCTTGGTCTCCCATGAGGCCAGCTGTGCCATATCTCTTGACCTCACTGTCATCTCTGTAAGGTGGTCTCTGGCCAGCTGTCCCCCAGATGCCCAGCCCCAGCATCACTCACCTGGCTGTGATGAGCTCCAACAGCCAGTGGGTCCGGACCTGCTGGATGCCGCCATGTGGGACAGCACCCACATAGGCAAGGTTGAGCTGCTGGTCCCAGCTGAGGTCATACCGGTCAGCCTGGTTGTGTGGCAGTGGGGGGCTGGAGACAGAACAGGAGTGGCTGCATTAGTTCTGAGCCTTGGTCCTGGCCAGCGGCCTTCACACAGATCTGGCACCTATTGTCACAGGGCCTATGACCACCCCAGCTCTGGGATCCAGCAGATGGGCTGGTGCAGGTTTGCTCAGCGAGTAATAAAATGACCCTGAATGTCCTCAAGTCTCACCTTCGTGGTAATGGGGGCTCCCAGAGGGCAGAGAGCCATATTTGACCCTGCCCTTTGCCCTGTCAGCTAGGAGAGGATCTTAGTTCCCCATAGAGCAGCAGGAGACATTCAGGGATGGGGTCATGTCCCACTGCAGGGATGCCCAACACTCCTGGAGCTATCCCTCTTGGGAGATCCCTGGTCCATCACAAAGAGCAGCAGCATGAGCCCACAGCATTAAAAACGCGGTGGCCACAGCCTTTTAGACTCAGGGGACTGGGGGAGGCGGGAGTCACTGGGCAAACTCAGATCCTGGGCCCTGACCTCCATCACAGGGAGTACCTACTCCAAATTCCGACGAATGTCCCAGAAGAGGAGCCTGGGGCTGCTGTCCTCACCTGGCGCGCGTGTTGTGCGCGGGGAGGGCAAGAGGGTAATGGAAAAGGCCCAGGGGTCAAGAGGGTCAGAGTGGGCGGCACGGGTTCCGGAAGAAAGGTGCAGAAATGGGCCAGGTGGGCCCCTAAGCCCGCGGTTTCCCCGCGCGGGGCGCTCACCAGAAGCCCGTGCTCCTCCAGAATGGCCGCAGGGGACGTAGGGCACGGGCCGCGTCTACGCGCACCAGGAGCCGGGCCTCGGCCAGCGCCAACGGGAGCGCGCCTAACGGCGCGAGGAGCGCGAGCAGCGCGGCGCCGGGACACCTGGTAGGCATGGCCGGCATGTGGGGATGTGTGCCTGTGACTGGGGGTCCGGGGGTGCTCCCGGCTTGCAGGGCCCGCCCGGTCGGCCGCACGCCTCTGCACTCCGGGAGCTGCCGGGCTCGGGCCGCGTCGCGGGTTCCGCCTCCGGGTCGTGCGCCCCCCCCCCCCGCCCTTTTGCCTGGCGGAGTCCTGGAGCCGGGTCTCTTTTTGGCTACTCCTTCCCCTTTCTTTTAGGAAAGGTTGTGCTAAACATAACAGGCTAGGAGGACAAAATGACTTAAAACTGTACATGGAAAGCGCCTGGAACGACACTTGGCCCTGTGGTGGAATTCGGGTGTGAGCCCTTACTGTCCGGTCCACCCTGGAGGCCGACAAGTAGCCTAATGGGACCTGGCCTCGATGCCGAAAGCAGGTCAGTGGCCCAGTCTGCCATAGCTGGACGGTGAGAAGGGCTCAGACGGAGGTACACTGACAGTGGAGCCCTAGGCCTGGACGGATGCGTGAGCAGAGCCACTGGTGACCACCACGCGGCCGGGGTGGGGTGGGGGGTTACCCCTGTTTGAAATAGAGGGTGTTGACAAAGGAAGAGGTATAGTCAGGAGACAAACTGCCTTTGGGAAGCCAAGTAGACAGCTGGATGGCTGGCCTGAATGCCCTGGGGAGGTAGGGTCAAAGGTGTAAATGTTTGAGATTGGAATCGTATACGTTTATGAGTAGGGCACCCAACAATAAGAAGTCTCATAGCAGTGGAAAGCCTCTGTCCCTGCATTGTCTCCCCTCAGATGGCAGGATCTCTTACCTGGAGTCCGTCAATGTTACCAGTTCTTAGGTGATTTTAAATTGTGGGTCATCAGCACAACGCTGGTAAAAGGGATGGCTTATAATGGAGAAGAGAGGGGAACCTGTGAAAAAGCCCCATACAGTACAAGTGTTAGCAAGAGCAGTAGACACACACACACACACACACACACACACACACACACACGTGGGTTTTCAGAAATGAAATGTATTTATTAAAATAAAAAGCTCAATGGGAGACCAGCAGGTGGTGTGGTGGTTAAGGTGCTGGACACTCCCACATGGCCAACCATGGTTTGAGTCCTGTACCTGGTGGTTTACTCTCTCTCTCTGTGTGTCTCTCTCTGGTCAAATTAAGATAAATGAATGAATGAATAAATCTTAAAAAAAAAAAAAAGTGGATGGTTAGACAGCACACTACACAGGCTGGGGACAGACTTAGTGAAGTAAATGACATGGCTTGAGAAATTACTCAGAATGCAGCAAAGAGCCAAGAAAAAGACAAACAGATGTTCAGAATGTAGAGAAATAAAGCAGGAAGGGTCTAATTAGAGTCCTAGAAGAGAAGACCATGCAAAAGAGGCAAGATGTGAAGAGAACTTCTGGGAAACCTAAGTCCACAGACAGAGAAAGTGCAGTGTGTGCCAAGCAGGATAAATAAAAAGTTATCCTCACCTAGACATACTGTGGCAAGACTGCAAGCCTAAAGAGATCACAAGATTTTAAGAGCAGCCAGAGAAGAAGGTCAGATTGCCTGCAGAGCCAAGATGATTAGACTGACAGCAGAGTGCCCTACAGCAGCAATGGAAGCCGGGAGATGGAAGCGCTATAGTGCCCCATATCCATGTTACCCACTCCATAGTTTCAGTTACCCGCAGGCAAGCTCAGTCTGAAGATAGGTGCGTACACCACAAGAGAGACCACCTTCACGTAACTTTTATTATATATAGTAATAGTGGTTCTATTTTATGGGTAGTTATTGTTGTTAATCTCTAATTCATTGGGTCATCAGAAAAGTCATGATGCATTTTTGCATTGAAAAATATGTCATGACTTTTCCAAAGACCCAATATAAATGAAACTGTCATAAATATGTATATATAGGAAGAAAGTATAGAATTCAGTACTAGGGAACCAGCAGTTAGTGTAATGGCTATGTTGCTGGACCCCCACATAGTCGACCGCGGTTTGCGTCCCGGACCCGGTGGCTTAAAACTCACGCCGGGCGTGTGTGTGTGCATGCCCAAGATCCCGAGAGGAGAATGGAGGAGAAGGGATTGCGGTGTGACCATCCCCCCTGGGTGGTGATTTCTCGCTTTCTGTCTCTGTCTCTCTCTGTCTGGCGAGCCCATGTGCCCTATAGCGAAAAAACCTCTCCAAAAAAAAAAAAAAGAATGTTTAATAAATTCCCTTGTAAATTAACAACTGGAAGTCTTCCCAAAATATCTATACCACGAGACTTCCAAAGCATATTCTTCAGCAAGAATGTAAATTATTGCAGAAGAATAATCCAATATACCTGTGTGAGCCCAAACAAAAACTTTGCATAAAATAACAATGAAAAAAGTCTAATAAGAACAGAGCTAAAATACTGGACAGTAATAGCCTGTACATTGCAAAGAGAGTTATCAGAGTTACAGTGTTCTTTGGTCTTCTTTTCTTTTTTTGGAGAGGTTTTTGCTACAGGGCGCGTGCGCTCGCCAGGCATAGAGAGACAGAGAGACAGAAAGTGAGAAATCGCCCCCCAGGGGGGATGGCCACACTGCAATCCCTTCTTCTCCATTCTCCTCTCGGGATCTTGGGCATGCATGCATAGGTGCCTGGCGTGAGTTTAAGCCACTGGGACTTGAACCACGGTCGACCACATGGGAGTCCAGTGACATAGCCATTACACTAACTGCTGGTCCCATTCTTTGGTCTTTTTATTTTGAGGAGAGCGCTTAATATATTGTATAACATTAGGTCTTCTAATGTTGAAAGTGCAAGGTAAAAATGTCCATGATTAGCCATTTGAAAAAGAAACAGTGTATAAATTCCAAACCATCAGGGAGGGGAAAATGCAATACCAGACAACCCCCAAAGGGCTATATCCTAAAAGTAAAGATACCCCGGAAGGGCTACACCCTAAAAGTAAAGATTGTTGTTTCAAGGACAGAAGCCCAGCTTTGATTCACCTCAAGCCCCGAGTGAAACGAGGTGATCCAGTAACCTAGCCACCTGCCAAAAGAAAAGTGAATCTTCCTTTTAAGAAGATAAAACACACAAACAAAATCCTTCAGTGCATGATGCTGAAATGGATCTTGGGTCAGGAAAAAAGAAAAGCCAACCTTCCCTGTAGGAAGATTAAAAAATTTAAAAATCTTCAATGCATTATGCTGGAATAGATCTTGGATCAGGAAAAAATATAAAAGATACGACTGGGACATTTGCAATCAGGACTATGTACTATATATTCCATAATAAAATTTAACCAATGACTAATTTCCGCATTTGTCAAATTCTGTCAGTTTGATAACTGATATAATCCAAATTCTATCAATGACAAATTCCAGAATTTAAAAAAAGATTTATTCATTTTAGTTTATTATTATTATTTATTATTATTATTTAATTTGACCAGAAAGAGAAAGTGAGAAAGTAAGCCACCAGGTCTGGGACTTGAGCCATGGTTGGCCATTTGGAAGTCCAGCATCCCAACCACCACGCTACCTACTGGCCCCAAATTCCAGAATTATTAAGTGACTTAATAATTGCATCATGAAATAATTCTTTAAAAAATAATTGCATCTTGATGGACTAGCAGATGGCATGGCAGTTAAGGTGCTGGATCCTCACATGGCAAACCACAGTTCACATTCCTGATCTGGTGGCTTGAATATTATGCTGGGTGCATGTGTGTGCATACCCGAAAACCCCAAGAGGAGAATGGAGGAGGAGGAGGAGATGATTTCTCACTTTCCCTCTCATTGTCTCTGTCTCTCTCCGGTGAGCACACACACCCTATGACGAAAACCTAAAATAATTTCATTGTGGTTATGAGTGGATCCTTTTGTGATCCCTGCTGAAATATTTAGAGGTAAAAGTTATTATGCCTGTTCCAAAATGGCTCTGAAAATTAAAAACAAAAAGCAATAATATCATAGAGATTGAGATAAAGAGAATGGAACAAAATGTTAACAATTGGTTGAGAGACCAGCAGGTGGCATAGTGGTTAGAGTACTGGACTCCCACATGGCCAAACACAGTTCAAGTCCTGGGCCTGTTGCTTGCTTTCTCATTTTTCCTCTCTCACTCTATCTCTGGTGAATTAAAATAATAATAATAAATAAAAATTAAATAATTCCTTTTAAAAAATAATTATTTAGGGAACCAGCAGTTAGCGTAATGGCTATGTCGCTGGACTCCCACGTAGTCGACCACGCTTTGCCTCTCGGACCCGGTGGCTTAAAACTCACGCCGGGCGCGTGTGCGTGCATGCCCAAGATCCCGAGAGGAGAATGGAGGAGAAGGGATTGCGGCGTGACCATCCCCCCTGGGGGGTGATTTCTCGCTTTCTGTCTCTATGTCTCTGTCTGTCTGGCGAGCGCACGCGCCCTATAGCGAAAACCTCTCAAAAAAAAAATTTTTATTTATTATTTTAATTTAACCAGAGGGGGAGAGAGAGAGAGAGAAAGTGAGAAAGCAAGCCACCAGGTCTGGGACTCAACCATGGTTGGCCATGTGAGAGTCCAGCCCCCTTAATCACCATGCCACCTGGCAACCCCATAAATAAATAATTCTTTTAAAAAATTGGTTTACCTGGGTGAAAAATATGTAGTATCATTGTAACTTTTCTGTGAGTTTGAATTTTTTCAAAATGAAAACATTGAAAAAGTATAAAAAACCTGAAGAAAACGTAGTCAAATTTCATTTAATTGTATATTTGATCTTATCGTTATTTTTTGATTGTCAGAGGGTATGTGCACTCACTAGAGAGACAAAGAAAAAGGAAGAAAGCACCCCCTAGTGGGGTGCAATCACATCTCCATTTTTCTATTTTGCTTATGTACCTGGTGTATTTTTTTTCTTTTAAAGAATTATTTATTTAGTTTTATTTATGATTGTTATTACTTTTAATTTGCTACAGAGCATGTGCACTCACCAGAGACAGAGAGAAAGAGAGAGAGAGATAGGGAAAGTGAGAAAGCAAGCTATCAGGTCCAGGACTGAACCATGATCAGCCATGTGGGGAGTCAGGTGCCTTAACCATCACACCATCTGCTGTTCCATGGTGTATTTTTTCAAGCTTCAGAGACTTGAACCATAGGAAGCCAGCTGGTATTTGGCTCCCTAAACTTCTAGACTACAGG